AGGATTCGGTTTTAAGGAGAAGCAAAAGACAAAGAAAAAAAACAAATTTTAGGGATGATTTTTATATTTATTTAGTACAAGATGAACTATTAAATTTTCATGAAGCTATTTCTTCTTCCAGTACTAAGTTTTGGAAAGAAGCAATTGATATTAAATTAATTCCTTAAGGAAGAAATAAAACTTAGGTTTTGGTAGATTTGCCTCAAGAAGCAGAGGCTATTAGGTGTAACTGAATTTTTTTAAAAAAGTATTTTTTAAATGGTTTAATTGATAAATACAAGGCAAGGTTCATGGCCAAAGGTTGTACGTAAAAGGAAAATGTTGATTATTTTGATACATTTTTTCCTGTAACTAGAATTTTTTCCATAAGAAGTTTTATTACTTTGGCTTCGATTTACAAGCTTTTCATTTATCAAGTGGATGTTAAAACAACATTTTTAAATGGTGATTTAAAATAATAGATTTATATGGTACAATCTGAAGGATGTGTTGTCCCTAAGCAAGAAAACAAAGTGTATAAATTTGTTAAATCTTTATATCGTTTGAAACAAGTACCTAAACAATGACATGAGAAACTTTATCAAGTTTTGACTAGTGGTAGCTTCTCTACTATTAAAGTAGAAAGTTGTGTTTATGCAAAATTTGCAAATGATGATTGTGCCATTGTATGCTTGTATGTGAATGATATGCTAATTTTTTGCTCCAATATGAATATTGTGAATGAGACCAAAATCTTTCTTTCATCAAATTTTGATGTGAAAGATATGGGTAAAGTCAAAGTTACTTTAGGTGTGAAGATCATAAGGAATAACAATGAAATTTTACTATCCCAAGAGCATTATGTTGAGAAAATTCTCAAAAAGTTTGAACACCTTAAGGATACTCCTCTAAGTATTCATAGATTCAAGTATGCAAATAAAAAGGCATAAGGGTAATCCAGCTGTTTAATGTAAGTATGCATAGATTATTAAGAATTTATTGCATTTGATGAATTTTACTAAGCCTGATATAGTTTATGCTATAAGTAAATTGAATAGATATACCCACTATTTAGATAATAAACATTGGGAGGCTCTGGAAGAAATTTTGAGATATTTGAGATGTTCCATGAATTATAATACATTATAATTATAATATATTCTATAGTTGATTTTCTACTATATTGGAAAGATACAGTGATGTTGACTAAATCTCAAATTTAGAAGAGACAAAATTCATTAGTGGTTATATATTTACTCTTAATAGTGATGCAAAAACCTAGAAGTTTGCAAAGTAGGTAATTATTACTAAATCTTCAAGGGATTCTAAATTTATTGCCATGAAGTTGGTTGAAACTGATGTTGAGTGGTTGAAAAACTTTTTGTTAAGTATCCCAGTAGGTAAGAAGCCTACACCATCAATATCTTTACATTATGATAGCTAATCTATGATATCAACGACTAAAAATAAGACCATTAATGGCAAGAGTAGACACATTCCATTGAGACATAATATAATAAGACAACTGCTTAAAGATAGGGTTATCTCAATCAATTATATAAGATCAGAGTTAAATTTAGTGGATCCATTAACTAAACCCCTGAGGAAGAACTTAATTATTGGAACAATGAGAAGAATGAGACTTAAACGCATTTGAAATTACAAGTAATGGCAATCCAACCTTATGATTAAAAATCCCACGAATATGGCTCAACAAGTAAGAATAAGTCACTTATTAGTTTTGCTAACGCAAAATTTTCTATCCCTTTCTATATGACTTGAAAAAGTATTAGAATGCATTGATTGGCTAAGAGAAAGCTTTTAATGATTTTTATAGTCTGTATAGATGATGTATTTATTGCAAGTATGCTTGATGAAAACACCTATATGAATATAAAGTGGGGCCACTCCTACAAGATTGTGGCAAAATTTCTAGAGAATTTGTTAGAATCAGGTGTGCACATAATATCACATAAAATCATCATTAATAGTAGAGACTATGGGGGTATAATTCGATTAATAAGACCTCTAGTACACATCTAAAACGTGTGGTTCAATAACGAAGTTATATCAATTTTTCTGTGTGTTAAGTTTTATTAGTTTAGATTAGGTTCAAGTTAAAAAATACTAGATTCGAAATGATTATCTTCCATATGAATAATTCAGATGATAGTGATCCTTTTAACACGAGTGGAATTGTTGCAATAATTGAGTGATGTGTTAAAATGATAAGTCCCATATTACTCACATAAGAGGAACTTCAAGGGTATAAGTACCAAGGAATGAAAGTGTGCTAGTAAATGGGCTTAGAAAAAGAGTAAACTCATGTTTATGAGATAGGCCAATATAGAGCAGCTGTAATTGAAAACAACTTATTTTTCCCCTTGTGCACAAGTTAATGCAGTACTAGGAACTTTTTACTAGATTTATTTTCACAAAAATAAATATTAATTCATTTAAAATAGCTTATTAGAAAACCATGGATTTTGGCTATTTGAAATTTGAATTTGAAAGGCTTTAGTTTAATAGTCATTAAGCCGACATTTTGATCCTTAAACGGAGTTGTCAAATTAAAGTTTTATTTTCCCAACCTTTCCGAACAAAGGTTTTATGATTGTAAACGATGCTTAATGTTCATATATAAATTGCGGCCATATGAAGGCTTGCATGTAGACAAAACAATTCACACCAGCCTTCAAATTTTCAAGCTATATCTCCTCTCTGACACTATTTTGCTATTGAGTGCTTGAGTTTATTTATGCTAGTTTCTGTTATTTTGTGTCCCTTATTATTTTGTAAAAAAAATCCGTTTAATCTTGAAAGGTTGTCCTGCGAACAAAATAATATGGCAAAATAGCTGTTAAAGATAGTGTTTTTCATCACAACTCAAACTTAAAACTACTTGCAGCTAGCAACACAATCTCTAAACATCACTTCAAGGTCCCCTTCATGTATCCTAATTCCCAAAAGGAGAGAGTAAAGTCCTGAAAACAAAGTGGTTCAAGTAGAAAAGTATAATGACTACCGACTCCTACAAATTTCAAAATACAACTAGATGTCAAATTAATGACATATCAAACAACCTATATGTCGAATAAGGTTAGAAAATGTATATCACTAGAAAGTAGGCGTCGTAGTTGAGCCATGAATCAAGATTGAATAATGATTTAACGAACCTCTATTTCAAAAACGATGAAATCTGATACATGAGGGCCAAGGCACTGAGCCAAAAGTGAAGAAGACTATATCCCACATCACACCAACTTGTGGGAAGAACCAACAAACCTCAAGGTGATGAACCTAGGTGACAAGGATGATAAATATAGGTGATAATGAACCCAAACAATAATGAAATGAACCCAATGGATGATTAAAGAGTGTGAGGTGACTGAAACTATCCTAATATATTTAGAGGGAGGACCTTAGACCTTTATATTGAGACTTTCAGGGTTCAATTCAATCAGGGACTTCATAAATTGTTCTCACATGACCCTGAGAGCGTTTCAAAAATTCAGTTTCACACAAAATATGGCTTCCAATGTCGCCTTATGCAAAAAATTCAGAGCAGAATAATAGTATATTTTAACCATTGAACATGACAAATCGGTAACAATGATGAAGACGGGGACGTCTGTGTGCTCTGGTTTGCCGCCAAACAAAAATCGAATTCCCTGCCAGAAGGATCCAGTTCTTCCTTCTTGCCTTTTAATGCAATGCCCTCGGGGAGAGCCCGAAGAATTGGACACCGGCTTTGGACTGTTGGATCTACCCGCTTAGCTAGTAGGTTAAGCCCATGCCCAGCCCATATCATGCCTCCTTTGGATGGACTCGCTCTCAACAAATAACTTCTTTAATTTTTTAATTTAATTTATATTTATTTGCCCCACTTTTTAATTTAATTTATATTTATTTGCCCCACTCTCAACGCTCCCAGCTCAATTACTCATCACTCATTCATTAGACTTTTCATGCTCATTTTGACTCTTCCTTTGTCACCTTGTGTCGTGTGCGTGTGCGCGCGCGCGCGCGCGTAAATGGCAACGGAAAAGTGATCACATTGTTTTTGCCCTTGAAGAAACTGGCTCGTGTTTGGTGTCCAATCTATTCTGGGTGAATTTCTACCGCAAAAATATTCTTTTCTTTATTGTCAGGTGTAAAAGTAACTGCGAAATACAAATATATGCCTTGTTTGCGGCAAATGATCAGGTTAACTGCTTTTGCTGCAAAATCGGATGAAAATATTTCTTCGAAAATAATCTTGTCTTTACAACAACATCTTGAAGAAATTGTTTGGCCCAACGAAAGTCGAAATTTAGAAAACGGTGGTATTTCTGCATAATCTCATCACCTGCGGTGGGACGACACATACCCAAACTATAATGAGATGATTGAAATCGCTGCGTGCTGTACCAGATATTTTCGGTGCTTCAGCCATGATTGTGGATCACATTTCAAGTTACGCGATGCACTGACTCATGCGTCTCCCCACCTACACTCCATTCCACGTCTAATTTGCTCATGCAAATTTAAACCGCCCCAAAACCATGACAATAAAAAGTCACGATTGCCCTATGTGTAAATAAAACATCAAGCAAACAGGATGATTAGAAAGGATTTAAAATGCTATAGAATTAGGCTACTTGCAAGCTACCCCCTTTTTTCTTATAAAATAAAAAACAAATCTAGTAGAGAAAGAGTTGGGATGGGTAACGCCAATCCCAAATCCATTCAGCCCAGATTGCGAGATTCGTGTTCAGAGTTCAGTCATCAAGCACCAAAACCTACCTCATCTTTTAGCAGTTAACAATCATAAAAAATTCAGTCACCTCTTCCATGACCCCAATGTAGTCCATCTAATTTCCCCTTCATCCTTGCAATCAATTCATTTTCCCGGAAATGGAACAAACAATTTTGTTCCTGTTTTCAAAGGAGCCAGTTTACTGATCCATTTTATTTGACCAATTTATAAGACTCAAACAAACATAATGGCATGCTCAGACAATAAACTCGTAGATCGAAGATATTTGGTCAACAATTCTACTTTTATTCAGGGTAGGTAGCTCATTTTATCATCATCAAATACCGACTTTTACGAAAAAGAGTAAAAAGTTTCACATGATCCAGAGCACCTTCATCATAACCACAACCCCAATACCTAAGACACTAGTAAACGCAGAGGATTAAGAAAAGCTCGAGACAGCGAACAGAAGACACAGCATAATGGTTCTGAGATCAGAGCAACCACAGAAAGGCCACAGCCGTTTAAGAGAGTTGCCCGCAGTCAGCAATCACCACAGGCCTGGAGGTCCTGCCAGAGCTAGATCCGACCTTCTCGATCTCTTTCACCACATTCATGCCCTCCACAACTTGGCCGAACACCACGTGCTTGCCATCAAGCCACTCGGTCTTGGCTGTGCAGATGAAGAACTGAGATCCGTTGGTTTTAGGGCCAGCATTCGCCATGGAAAGGATACCAGGACCTGTGTGCTTCTTGATGAAGTTCTCATCCTCGAACTTGGCGCCGTAAATCGACTCGCCGCCAGTGCCATTTCCAGCGGTGAAATCACCTCCCTGGCACATGAAGTTGGGGATCACGCGGTGGAAGGAGGATCCCTTGTAGTGAAGGGGCTTGCCGCTGCGACCGACTCCCTTCTCACCGGTGCAGAGAGCACGGAAGTTTTCGGCGGTCCTGGGGGTGGTGTCGGCGTAAAGCTCCATGACGATCCGGCCAGCAGGTTGACCACCGATGGTCATATCGAAAAAGACCTTAGGGTTTACCATTGTTGCGAGGGAGTAAAGAAAGATTCAGAGAGGAAAGAGTGATCGACAGAGGAGAAGAGGACAGGATAGGGATTTTGGAGTGATGAGTAGGTTTATATAGAGTGGGGCGTGTATCTAATATCTTTGAATTAGCCGTTCGATTGGGGCACGTGGCAGGATTGTGAGAGGGGTAAAGTAACCGTGGTTAAGTTCGAAGCGACCATGGTTGGTGGAGGATCCAAGGAAGGTGAATGTGCTTTATTTATTTTTATTTTTTAGGGGATGAAGATGAACACACAAGTTATTATAAATTATAAAAGCCCTAACACACGACGCCGCTTCTTTTATCTGCTTTTTTTTTTTTCATAACAAAAAAAGTAGCATAAGATATGTTCGTCCTCAGAAGCGTCGGATCATAAATCGTTCGGTGAGAGTCGTGGTCATACGTGCCCTCATATGACTAAGAACTTTGATAAATTTGTGGGGCCATCTGCACAAGTTCTGAAGGAGCAGGACCTTTCCAAACGGTAACGTTGTTAGGTCCTTAAGTTGACGTGTAGGAAACTGTATCAGATTTTTTTTGGCAAATGGCTTATACATTTAAATTTCATCTGCATATAATTGGTTATGAAAAAAATTAATTAATAAAAATGCAGAACAATCTGGAGAGAGATGGTGAGAGAGAGAGAGAGAGAAAGCGAGGAGCCAGAGTGAGCGACGATGAGAGAGTGATAACTAGTGCGAGCTTAGGTGTTAATGTCAAAGCCTCAGAATCTCAAGTAGATGACAAGGATCCCTCCAAAATGGATAAAGATGTCCTCATAAGAGGTATGAAGAAGATAGTTGAAGATGAAGTCATGCAGGAGAAGGTTAAGGAAGAACATGGACAAAGTAGAAGGTCAATAAGAATTCCTGATGCAGGAGAAGAGAAGATTGAAAAAGAGAGATATAATGGAATGTATGAAGGAATGGATGCAAGAAGAAGCACAACTAGCTCTGACTCTGGTAGATGCTCAAAAAGAAATTCTTGCAAGTATCCCGAAGCTAGATATGTCAAATGAGAGATGGATGAATTTGTGTAAACTATGGAAGGATGCCCTTGTGGTAACTCTCCTAGGTAGAAGGATGTATGTACAAATTTGAACTCAAGGACTGTTTAAGTAAGCTATGGTCTGTTAGTGACTTTGAGTTTATTGATCTTGTTAATGGGTACTACATTGTTAAATTCAGTGATATTTCCCACTACCATAAGGTTCTTACTCAAGGACCATGGATGATTCAAGGACACAATGTGGCTGTTCAACATTGGAGTCCAAACTTCAATCCATACAGTAATACTCTAAGGAAACTTATAGTGTGGGTTAGGGTTCCCATCCTTCTGGTGTACTGTTATGATGAAGAAATTTTACAGGAGCTGGGAAATGTCATTACGAAGACCTTAAAAGTTGATATGAACACCTTAGAATGTAAAGGCATTGATAAGATTAAGTTGTCGAAAGGGGTGGCTATATGCCTATCAATGTTAAAGAAGATCTATCGAAAAGGTTGGTATCTTGTTTTGTGATTCAAAAACATGTGTTCATAATTGCATATGAGGGATTAGATGTTATTTTCTTCCACTGCAGCCAATATGGACATCGACAGGAAGAGTGTCTACTCCATCAACCAACCACGAGCGCAGGTAATGGAGAAAAAATGGAATCATCCCCATACACACAAAAAGTAGTGTCATGTGGCATTGAAATAGAAGAGAGACAAGAGGTAGAAAAGGGGAAATCGATGACTCAAGAGGCCCAAAACTTGTTATGCACCGTTAACGAAGTCTTGGTAGAGGAAGCGGTTGGAGAATGGATACTGGTGAAATATCCTCAAATATGGAGAACCTCGAGAAATGGGGTAAAGAAAAGTACACAAGGTCATAATAAGGGTCAAAGCTCGATGGGAGGAAAAGGACAAAAGGTGACTGGGAAGTCAATAATGGATATACTCTTAGACATGGGTCACATGGGTGAAGAGAAGAATGACAGTAAAGGAGTATAAGATAGCATAGGGAAGGAAACTAATATAAGGATAGAGCAGAAAGTTGGTAGGTTGGATTATGACAAAGGAAAAGCACCAATCAATAGGGAAGGTATTCATCTGGGAGAAACAAAAAATAATTTTTTTATTTAAGGCACTAGAGCAGCAAAAACACAACGAGTACTATAAAGGGCAGAAAAGTAATAAGATACACGAGTCATAGGAAGGAGGTGGATCATCCTCAAGGTCAAAAGTTACAGGTTTGAAATGAAGCCTAGTATATAGGCCCAAGATACTATCCCAAAATTAAATAGGAAAGCTTCCTCTAGAGAGTACAAAATTGTTATGGGCTTAGCCACTAGAAAAGGCCCACTGCAAATGGACCCGTCATCAAATACACATACAAGCCCAATATCCCCCAATTTAATGAGGAAAGGTTAGCCCAATTTCTCTATAAATAATACTCATAAATTTACAAGAGATGTTAGGGGGAGTAAGAAATTCAAAACCTTCAAACCCAGCTATACATACTAAAGCAAACACATGTCTAAGTACTGGAATGCTAGAAAATCAAGACCAATTTTTTTACTTGGATGCCAGTGATCGGGACAAAAATTTGACCAATACCAGGGATGAAATTGACAAGGAAGGCATGCATGCCACTGCCATGGAAAGCAACTCGAGGATGCCTTAATGGTTTAACTCAAGTTCTTTTCATGTAACTTGTTGTTTATTATGAATATAGTTGCTTGGAACTACAGAGGCATAGCCTTTAAATATTTTCCTCTAAGATTGAGGGATTTATTAAAGAATAAAGATGTTAAAATTTTGATCATTGTTGAAACTAGAGTTAGTAGACAAAAGGTAGACTCTATTTCAAAAAAAAACTGGGGTTACTACTGGGTATGCAGAGGGAATTTGGCTTTTATAGAATGAAGAAGAATTTGATATTTCCTACAATTATTCCTCTACACAAATGCTACGTTGCCTGGTAAAAAAAAGATCTAATGATGCTTACTTTTAGTTGTCATGCGTTTATAATGAACCTTTATACCAATATAGATGAACCCTGCAGAATGATATCCATTTGATCAGCAAGAATATGAAGGACTAGTGGTTACCAGTGGGAGATTTTAATGCCCACTTAACTAATGAAGACAAAGTAAGGGACATGATCAACCAGACATCAATGAAGGAATTTCGTGAATGTATCAATAAGGCTAATCTTGTAAAGTTTATGGCAGTAGGAGATAGATATACCTAGGAAAAGAATATGGCAAAAGAACGTTTTGACTGTGTCTTCTCTAATATTGAATGGCAATTTAGCTTTTTAGACATGATGTTCTGCCATCAAAGCAAATTTGGCTCAGACTACAAACCTCTTTTACTCAAAAAGAAAGGGACTAGTGATATCCTAGCTAGAAAAAATAATTTTTTCAAATGTCAAGCTACCTAGGTTCTTGAAGAGGGTTTTAGTGATATTGTTACACAAGCTTGGAAGCAGGAGGAGTGGACAAAAAAAACTGAGGCCTTACAAAAGCTTGTTGTTGAATGGAATAAAAATAAAGTAGGTAACATTATCTATAAAAAGAAGAAACTAATTTGAAGAATTGAAGGAGTTGAAAGAGCCAGAGTAACACGTGATAGCCAATATTTGAGGCAAGTTGAAAAAGAACTATAAAAGTACTACAAATAAAGTATTAAATCAAGAGGAGTTGATTTAGTACCAGAAATTGAGATGTAACTGGTCAACATGGGGAGATAAAAACAGTAAATTCTTCCATGTAACTACCATAGAAAGAAGATGGAAAAACAATATGTTTACCCTGAAAAGAGAGAATGGGGAGCGGATTGAGAGTCAGGAGGAATTGAAAAATATGGCTAAGCAATTCTACCAAAAGCTCTTCACTAGTGAGAGCAATGAGGTTCCTAGATGTAAGACTACATCTACTTTCAAGAAGTTAAATGAAGAGGAACTGAGGTCTCTGCATAAAGACATTTTATGGAAGAGATAAAAGCTGCAGTATTCAAAATGGGTACTTTTAAGGCACCAAGCCTAGATGGCATTCAAGCATTCTTTTATCAGGAATATTGGGGAATTGTAGGGGAGTTTGTGTGCAAGATGGTGAAAGATATCTTTAAAAATCTGGTCAAATTAGGAACCATTAATCAGACTAACCTTATGCTTATTTTGAAGATAGAGAGACCAGAATGTCTCAAGGACTTTCATCTTATTTTGTTGTGTAATGTGAGCTACAAGGTCATATCTAAAGTGATTGCCAATAAAGTAAAAAGGGTTATAAACAAATTGATCAAACATTATCAGTGTAGCTTTATAATTGGAAGATAGGGGAGCAATAACATTATTATAACTTAAGAGATCATTCACTTTATGAAGATAAAGAAAAGGAAGAAGGGGTTCATTGCTTTAAAAGTAGATTTGGAAAAAGCATACGATAAAATGGAATGGAACTTTCTGGCTGTGGTCCTCAAAGAAATTAGAGTTAAAGATCACCTATATAAGCTCATTTTGGAATGTGCCTCTAGTTTTAAAATGAGATTTTTATATAATAGAGATGCATCTGAGGAGTTTAGTCTACCTAAGGGTTTGAGATAAGGAGACCCACTATCTCCTTATATTTTTACATTATGCATGGAGAAATTGAGCTATATCATTCAAGATGCTATCATGGGAGATAAATAGAAACCAATACAGCTCAACAAAGATGGCCTATAGCTTTCCTACTTATTCTTTACTAATGACTTCCTCCTTTTTAGAGAGGCAAGTCTAAGATAGGTAGAGATTATGGAAAGTTGTATCTGTGAGTTCTATCAAATGTCAGGCCAAAAAATGAATAAACATAAAACTAAAATGTGTGTTTTTAATAATGTACACATCAACCGAGGCATTGAGTTATGTAGAGCTATGGGGGTTACCTAACAGGTAATCTTGGAAAATACTTGAGTATCCCTCTTACCCATAAGAGAGCTTCTACCAGCCTATTTTCACCGATACTGGACAAGACTAGAAGAAGGTTGGCCAGATGGAAGGGGAAATTCCTGACTTTAGCTGGGCAAACCATTCTGATTAAAGCAGTTGTCTCTGCCCTACCTAGCTATTACATACAAACCATATACTTACTGAACACTTTGTTGAGAGATATTAAAAAATCAAGCAAGAATTTCCTATGGGCTGGTGAAGGGGATAAGAGAAAGATTCATTTGGTATCTTAAAAGGAAATTACAAAAGGGCAAATAGAAGGTGGCTTAGGGATCAAAGACCTTCGCATTCAAAGTAAGACTTTTATTATGAAGTTGTGTTGGATTTTGATTAAAAAAGGGACACTCTATAGGTTAGAGTTTTGAAATCAAAATATAACTGTGGGATAAAACAATTGCAAACTGTTACCAAGAAAAGGAATGCCTCCTCAACTTGGCATAGTATTGAGAATTTATGGAAAGAGTTCAAAGATGGATTAGGGAGGCAAGTTACCTCGAGACAATAAATTTTCTATTGGAAGGATCTATGGATAGGATTAGGAAAACCATTGGCAAAGGTCAATAGAGAAAATGTACTCATATGTAATATGGAAGAAAAAGTCTCAAAATACATCATACCTAATGGGGAGTGGGATACTTGAAAACTGGGGTTATGGTTCAATTCAGAAATTATGAACATCATAGCTCGCACTAGAATTTTTTGTGAGAGGAGTGAAACAGATCCATTCATATAGCTTCCATCTCCTAATGGAAATTTTAACATAAAATCTGCTTATTTGATTTTATCTACAGGTATGGCAAGTAATGGGAACACTGTTTGGAAGAGCATTTGGAAAATTGAGGTGCCAAAGAAAATGAAATCATTCTTATGGCTTATTGCCCATAACAGGGTTCACATGGCGGATCTCTGCAAGCATAAAGGCATTCAAGAAGACAATTTTTTCCACTTTGGTTGTAATACTGAGGAGAGCTTGATGCACCAACTTCGTGATTGTACCCATGCCAAAAGAAAAGGGTTTGATTTTATTTTGCCCAATTTTTAGGACAAGTTTTGTAATTTAGAGGGCCAGGAATCGATGAAGTAGAATCTCAGCAAAGAATTGGGTAGACCTAGTTTTAGGTTCATCCACTGGAGTTCTCTTTTTTCTTATATTTGTTGGGATATATGGGTTAATAGATGTAAAAGATTGTTTAGAGAGGAAGAAATTGATGGGGGGAGAGCACATATAATGTTTATTTCAGGTGTTACAAGATCTTAGATTGAAGCAAAGCATGACTCCATAAAGGTAAAGTGTTTATTCATATAGCTACTGCCACCATCAGGATGAGGAGACTTTCACTTTGGAAACAAATGCATCTTGCATACAAGAGAAAGAAAGTGCAGCTAGTGGAGTTATCAAATAGCAAAATGGAAGATGGCTCTTGAGTTTGTGTTCAAAGGTTGAATCTTTACCACCAACCATTACAGGGGTGAAAGCCATTACCATGGGTTTACATTACAGCTAGAAGCTTGGGATTAGGAAAGTTAATGTAATCTTAGACTTTGCAAATGTGATAAGTATGATTTTGAGGGACTCTCCACAGAACCACCTCTACTGAGATATTATACAGGAAGCTAGATTAATTCTATAAAGAAATTGGTTTGTAAATATTATTTACATGCCTTAGGACTTCATAAAACATTCTGATGCATTAGCAAAGTTTCTTAGACACTTACCACAAAGGACCATTTCTTTAACCATCCTCCTTTATTTATCCAGGAAGAGGAGGAAGGGGAGAGAAATGACCTATTGGGTGTATCTTAATCTTGTTTCCTAACATATGAATGAATCATCTTTTTTTCAAAAAAAATTAATTAATATGAGTCATTTGAAATATAATTGATTGTGTTATTTAATATATAATTAATTTATAAAATTAATTAATAAGATTGATTTTAACCAAAATTGAAAAGCAAAATTAAATTAAAAAAAGATAAAATCATGGTTATGTAAAAACAAATCCAAACACCTAAGTTACATGTTAAAATCAAATATAAATTCAAAATAATGTTTTAAAAAAATATTCAAAATCTCATTATACACATCAAAATTAATTTTAAACTCAAAACCATGATTTTCTTAAAAACATTCAAACACCTTCATTCATGTCAAAATCAATTATAAACTCAAAACCACAATTATCTCATAAATTACTACTACATGCTTTTCAATTCAAATTTTCAATTATTTATTTCTAAAAATTTATTCAAAAATTATATACTTTCTCCGTTTAAAAATGTAAGGCATTTTTTAAAGAGTTGAATATTTAAAAATGTAAAACATTTTTAATCTTTTAAAGTGTAATTATTATTTTTTTTTCAAAAACATCCCTATTAATAGTAACTTTATATTTATTGTAAAGTGTTTAATAAAGATAAATATAAAAAGATAAAGTTAGTTTAAAAGTAAGTAAATTGAGAAATAAAATTCAATTAAAAATAACTTACATTTTTAAATAAAAAGAGTAATCTTTTTTACAGGTCATATTTTTTAATTCATAATTGATTTTCACATAATAAAAGGTGGTTGAATATTTTTAAGCAAACTATAATTTTTTAGAAACATGATTTTAAATTCATAATTAATTTCAACATGTAACATAAGTGTTTGAATAATTTTTGCCAAAACATGATTTCTATAATATTAATTAATTTTAAATGCAGATCCAAAGAGGCGCAAACCAACTAGCGTTATCAGTTATCACTCCTTTAATTTTAAATTAACAATTTTTAGCAGATTACCTTTCTTCTTGTGCGCTAGAAGAAGGATAATACCAAAGTATATCAATAAATCAGATAATACCTTGCTAATACTTGTAACTAATTTATTTAGAGAAACTTCTATTAATCATTTATAAGTTCTAATTAACTTAATAGTATATATAATTTAATTATCTAAACTATAATTATAGTTCCAATTAAACTTATACCAAAGTACATAAAAAAATGCAGGGGTAACTCAATTTCTTAATTGTGCAGAAATGTTAATACTCTAAAATTTCAACTCTTAAAAACAATGCTATTCCAAACTCTACTTATAAGAAACAAGTCGGGTAGTATCACTACCACCATGTTAAAATGTACCATCTGTAGCCTAAGCACAAGGCTTTTTAGAAACATCATATGCAATTCAATCCGGAAAACTAAAAAAAATTAAACATGTCACGGGCAGTCGCTTTGGGACTATGAACATTGAACTTTGAAACGGATCCTTCCAATACGAATTCAGTTCATCCACCCGAAAAAATAAAAATAAAAAACAAAAACAAAAAGGGCAAAAGAAAAGAAATCTTCTTTTCTGACAACCATGCAACGCACTACTTACAGAATTAGACCCCACCATTCACTGATGAGCGATGACCATCCTTTTCTCAGATAAAAAAATCTACGCCGAATGGGAAGAATCAGAAAAAGAAAGGAGCGGAAAAAAGCAAAATTATATATAAACAACAGGAACAACCACGGCTAGCCTCAAACCGAGTGAGAAAGGTCTCATTCTAACTGGCAACACGCCATTAAATAATTATATACATTTTATTCTCACTTTCGTCGTCTACAGCGGATGTCATAAACGCTCGGATTGCAGGATTCCAGGATAGACCAAAAATACCATTTGTTTTAAGGACTTCTTAGAAGCCTTCAGAAACGCATGCCCCTCCATTGCTGCACAAAGCATCAATAAATGTTTAGCAGTTTTTATGAACAACCGAATAAATATTGAGAATCCAATACAAAATGGCAAAAAAGTTTCCAAAAGAAAAGGTACATTACCACCAAATAGAGTTTTAATTTCCTTTGAAAAATCATCCACGCGCCCTAATACTGGCCTTATGCCACAGATCTGCAGGACACAAAGCTCCAACTGCAAGGCCATTTCAATTATTTGCAACAATAAATAACAGAGATTCTGAATTTGGGGAGAAACCCTGGGTTTGTTGGCCTCACATAACTCTGTAACAATCTCAATGGCTTGATCCTGCATCAAAAGAAAATAAGCTCAAAAGAAATGTCGTTGTCTATTGGTTTCCGGTGTTGCGACAAAAATCAATTTTCTATTTCTCCTAACCACCCGCTTTCTACCATCACAAACAAGATGATACTGCTAACACAAATGAAATGTAAGTCAGCACAACTACAATTTCTGTTCCATCACATTATTTATTAATTTTATTTGTCAGAACATTCTTTTACATTTGATAACTGGATGAGAACAGCGTATGCAAGAGAATTTCAACATACCTGCAATCCATGCAAGATTTCTGGCATTGGAAGCTCGGGAAAATGCGCAAGATCAACGAAGCCAACCTCTTCAGCCCTTTTGACAGCTCCCTCAGCTTGTAAACTGAGAAACTTTAAAAGGAGACATGCAATTCTATATATCTGCACAGCAAAAGTATCAGAAAAGCATGTTTTTGGAAACAAATCTGTACTTTTAGTTGCTTCACCATAGATGGTCAAAGCAGTCGAGACAGAATTGGTCTTCAGTTTTGACACGCAGCAAAGCGGTGAGAGGGCAAACCATCCATTCTTACTGTTGATAAAAGAAGGCTTTAAGAAACTGTCAAAATCCTCTTTAAGAGAAGGCTGACATAAAAGTGAGGCACTCCTGTCAGACAAATCACCAAGCCGTTGAGTGCCCCTGCTAATAAAGGCTAAAAGATGGATACATGTCTCTCTAAGCTGTCTATCCACTTCATTGATTGCCTTCGCCCATGAATTCCAATGTTTTGCTAGTTCACACATGAGCATCAAAGTATGTTCTGTCTCCTTAAGATTAGCAAGAGAAATCCACGACCTCTGTGGCCGAGGTCTTTTCTTGTCATGATGATCTGTTGGGAGGTCTGGAGCATTTAGAGATCTAAAAATCAGATAAGCATTCTCCTGGAAAAAGTAAGGTATCACACTTTCCACAAGAGCTGTGCAAGAAGAACTGTCTTCCAAGGATTGAACCATAGCTGTGACCACAGCTAATCCGAGTCCCCAAATGTCTCCAGGCATTTCAAACCTTCCATGTAAGCTACCCACATTTTCACTATGAATTCTTGAGAACACCTCATCACATTCAGCAAACAACACTCTCAGAGACGACAAGAAACCAGAACCATAAAGCATCTCAGCACCTCCCTTTACCCGTGCAAGTGTCAAAAGAAACTTCAATATTATTGGAATGGAAGAGGACGTTTTGTCTTGAAGTTTTAGCAAAAGAAGTTTAAGCTGGAGATGATTCCGTATGACAGGTAACCAAGTCGCAGGCATCAAGAAATTTCTTAATATCAAGTCCATAACTGACAGAGACAGTAGACAATGTTCAGGAGCAGCAACACATTTGCATAGAATGGGAAGTAGGCCAAGGATTGCATTTGAAATTTTAGAAAAGCCCTCACCAGACTTCTTGTCTATTGTCCCATCCAAATCAGAACTGAGGCAGTTGGAATCTAATACTAAAAGCAGCAATGTGAGTAATAGCTTCATTATCACGCTGGCCCTAGAAGACAACAGCTTAAGTTCACTCAACAGTTTAAGACCTGAACCAGAACATTTCAGAACGAGTAGGGAAATATCAAAGGAGAGACTTTTGCAGACAGTTCTGGTAAACTGGAGAAGCAGTTCTGCTTGGGATGCAAGAAAATTGAGTATATCTTCGGACACATCAAGAACAGGTGCTAATTTTTCAATTGTAGCGTGAAAAGATTGGCATATATGATCTATGCATGTGAAAATGATTTGATCTGGGATCTCCTCTCTCGTAGATTTTCTCCCTAGTGCCTGCAAGATCATATGAAAAATAATATTGAACAGAATCACAGATACCTCAAATAACCACAGAATAGGGGAGGTAGCAATTCTTCACAAATGATCTATGCAAACAACGAAAAATGCAGTTATTCTAAACATTCAGGGCAAGTGTACATGAAAACTAGAATCATTAAAGCTTGGCTACAATTGCAGTCCTTACAACATGTTACTTCTGGACTGGAGTGCCCAAATTTTTCACTTCAAATTGTCTCAAGCAAAGAATCCAGCTGAAGACTTCTATTTATCCAAGGCAGGTCAGCTATAACAAAGAAATTATCACCAGCATCATATATTCTAACTAGACCTTGACATTTTAGTTGCAGTACGGTAGGAAAAGTTTAGAATCATTTAAGTTTTTTATTTTTATTTTTAACTTGTTGATTGATCCTAGTTTCCGGTATGCATGAATTCATAGGTTTACACAGATGTAGAAGCCAATAAGTGCTGCGCATAAACCAATTGTAGGAGTGAAACTAGCAATCTGCTTGAGAGAAAAAAGCCGGGCATCTTAGTAAACCATTGGCATTTCAACACTAATAGATTACTGCTTTTTGAGTTGAGACTTCCTAAAATCAGAAAGCACAATAAAAGGCAACTGAAGTTCTGAAATCTCACATCATCATGGTAGACAGTCAAGACAGAGATCAATGCTTTCAATGCAGAAAGCTTTGAGCTTGAAGCCAACATAAACGAGTTTGCATCCTGCAGCCAGTGCAACATGGTTTCTGCAATCTCCTTAGATGCCTTCCATTCAGAACAATACCACACATCTAAACCTATATCAGCTCGCAAGCGTACAAGGTCGAACAAGTATAAATTCTTGGTAGTTGCACAAAGGTCGTCATTAAAATGATGTTGATAGGTTTCAAAAATATTTGATTCAACCAGATACTGAGACAATTCTTTGAATGGTCCCGTACCAACTTTTCTGCCTTCAAGTTCTCCTTGCAACTGATAGTAGAGATCACTGAGTATCAACTTCTTCAATTTCTTCCCTTCACTGTCAGAATTTAAAAGGAGAACGGACCAAAGCATGATCACTAAACACCGCAAAAGGAAATATATCTACGTTGGGAAACTTCACTAAATGAATTATGTTATAGAGTAACAAACTATTACTTTAGACTGACACAATATCTTGAAGATTTCATTCAAAAAATGATACTTCTCAATATCCTCTTTTATTTATAGTATAAATGTAAATTGAGTATCCATAAAGGGAAAAACATGTCCTATTCTGTGCAGAACATGAAAGAATATATTGCATAGGATTAGTTAACACATCATTCTCAGCATGTAAATGATATAGGCAGCATTTCCAACCCTCCTTCACAAAAGAAGAAAATTTATACACGCTTAACCTGTAACCACGTTGTGAATACTGGCAGAGTAATTCAGAAAAAGCAGGATGCATGCTCAACTGCAAACAAAGAACAAAACTACATCAGCAATGAAACCTTCAGCTGATAACAAATGTATGAACAATTTATCATCACCAAAAAAAGTTTGAACATGTAAATCAGAAAAATTCTAACATTTTAATTCTTGAAATAGAGTACACAAAAAGATTATCCAGACATCTAGAACACATCATTGATCACTTTACCAAAGTAAAGAGGAACAATGGACTTTAAGAAACCAGAAAAGTTGGAAGTTGGACCTTTGTTAACGTTGCATGAAACTTCTGCTGCAATGACACTGATAAACTTCCAGAATCACCAGCTACTAACTTTTCCATCACATGGACAGAAAATAAACCGATAGCAACCTAAAAATTTAAGCACACTCATATACATAAATATATACATTACAGGATGAAGAAAAAAAACGCAGGAAAAAAGGAAAGAACTAATACAATGCAATGCAAATGCACAGAGATATAACATTACAATATGAATATGGGGAGGGGGGGCTGATACAATGCACATGCATGAGACTCAACCATAAGAACTCTACAAGTCTTCTCTACTTCATAGGCATGCCAATAAAAGTAAAAAATGGAAACGTGTAAATGGTTCAAACTCATTATGTTTAAAGGCATGCCAGATAATCAGAGCATCAGTGCTATAAAATTAACCAAAAATTAAGGAAAAACAAATATTACTTAAAACCATGAGGCAAATTGAGTTACACTCACTTTTGCACTATCATATATATCATAATTATACCCAGAAGTATATGACTTCATTAGTTTCTCCAAAACAGAATCTTTGCACCAGGAAGACCAAATTTCCCTAACATCACAAAAAACAGGTGCCTTATATTTTTCGGTTTCTGCACCACCTTGTTCCTTGCCCTGAGATCCAGCTGCATCCTTCACCAGTGATTCTGCATGCAATAACTTTTTCTGCAAGAACAGCTCATATGACATGATACCAAGTATTGCAGATTGACAAAGGTAACTGTTCGCTACATTTCGAGCATCCTTCTCTGTCAGATTAACAAGTAGAGCTGTGCTGCCAGCAACTTTTAAGATAGCATCAGACAAGTACTTCCAGAACTTCTCAGAGCTTCTCAGAGACTCCAGGATATTTAAGTACTGAGGAGCCCCTTGCCACAAGGCAATCATGAAGTTAAGTACACTCAGCAGTATGTGTGGGCGGCTGGAGATAAAGAGCATAGCAACATATTCATATACAAATTCAATGATGCACAAATAGCAAATATATATAAATAGAGAGAGAAAACATGCTTACACACACGTACATTTATGGAAAGTAATAAGAAAAAACAGTGGAAATCAAAGGCAAAAGGTTGACAAAGTAGCCAAATGAAATTCTACCCCAGAAAAGAGTACCTCTTAATCAGATCATCTGCCCTTGCAATATAATTCGTAAGTTCATCTATCTGGCATGATTTCTTTGAACCTTTGGGCAGAACATTTTCACTTTTTTGCTGCTTCACATCGCCAACAACAATTGACTGATCATTGTTCTTCTCCTCTGGAGTAAATATAGCAATAAGAAATGCAGGCTGCATAAAAGAACTTCTAGTCAGTTACTACAACAAAACCAAACTTAGTGGCACTGGAAAAGTTGCTTTGACCCCCACCCCCACCGCTCAAACAGAAGGGAAGATTTATTGTGAAAAGAATTTTAACTCAGTATCTATAAAGAAGTAATTGAGAGTAGTTAAAATTCTGTTAAGTGATAGTTAGAAATACTTTAAAAGGTAGTTAGGTATATCAGCGTATAAGAAGATAAAAAGAATATAGCACCTATGATACTATGATAAAAGTGAACACTGGTGAAAACCACAAGAATTTTGCATTCTCCATGTACCATCTTTTAAAAAAAAAAAAAAAATCATCTGATCCCAGCTTTTACATGATTATAATCTTTCAATGGCCACTTAGTGTTTGACAATTGCTCGAGAATTAGTATGGAGAATTATTTTTTGTCAAATTACTTTGGAAGACTGTTTAATGTTTGGGAATGTTGACTAAAATTACTTCTGCAAAAATGAGTGTTTGTTCAGATAGCGTCAAGAAGAATCACTTCTGGGAATGCAAGCACAAACGTCAAAAGGGGATAGAATAATGTTCACTCAAACATCCAATGGGCTAAAAAACTGTATGGATCCTCTAATGTTCAAGACTGTAAATTTAAATTTTTAATATGAAGTCAAGGATAGAAACACAACGCAGAGTGGAACATTGGAAGATGGAGGGGCGTGTATGAGCCCCAAATCATATATCTATCGTGGCCGAGGCATGTTGCTCCCCCAATCAGGAAGTTTGAATCATTCAGGTTTCATTGAGATGCAATTTGAAAATCCTTGTGAACTAAACTTGTTCTGAACAAAGGTCAAATCAGAGGATTTGGTTGTGGTTTCCAATCAGTTCACCATGGATCAACATACCACGTAACAATCCAAAGGAAACGATGACTATATTATTTCATTACTTCACTCAATGACTGAGTTAAGAGGTGTCTATATAAATACAAGAGAAAGGTCGTTCATATGAAAACCAAGGCATTACACAAAATAGTCTGACATAACTTACTAGCTGCTCTTACTGTCTAAAAACCAAGCACAAACTTGGAGCATACAATATATATAAATATATTGAAATTTACTAAAGCAGCTTGCTGCTAGCACCAAAAACCGGATATCATCAGTGGTTCAGTGCAAGTAAACTTGTAATTCCCATATGAAAAAGTGATACACAATTCATACAATCACATTATATTCAAACCTGGTGATATGCTGCAGAAGTCAACAGATTAACTGTTGCAATAAAGAGATCTTCATTAGATGATGATTGCTCCGACAATATGTAGCTCACAGAGTGTCTCAAATCCATGATCTAGAACCATTTAAGTCATCAAAAATCAAAGTTGAAAAACATCAGTCTAATGGTGTCTACAATCTAAAATCTAATCAATTTGAAATGGTCAGACTAAGACCCACAAACCTGATTAGATTCCGGGGCAAAGAATGTGGTTCCATATGAAAATGGCTGAATGGAATCTGCTATAGAAAATAAGAATGAAATAAACCTAGCAGCACCAATTTGGATGGCCTATAAAGACAACAGAACAGAATGTGGTTAAGCAACATAAAAATTACATTTAATGCAGAATCAACAATGATGTGCAGAACTAACCCGATATAATGCATGCTAAAATAAATGTTTGTGAAGCAAATGCACAAGCATGCATACAACAATGCCATGTAGAAAAAGAGATGTGAAATTCAAGACATCAACGAGAAAAAAAATTAGGAAATTATCTAGCATACAGAACAAATTAGTTTCTTTCATGGCTCATGACATGATAAATACATGGCACAAATTGTAGTTGTTAAGTAGAATAGAGGCCTCTGCAGATCCCTAGTCGGTACAAGAGATGCAAACACACACACACACACACACAGAGAACAGGTGTTAGTTGCTGTTAAACAACCGCACATTAGTACCACAGCATGTGCATAATCTGAGATAGAGGCAGATAAAAAATTCAAGAAAATGTTCTCATACTCGAATTTGAGCAAGGACAGAGTTCATACAGGATCTCGAAAGTATGAAATCAAGGATATAACAGCAGCAACAACGGGGACAGAATTGATTGTACATGATAACACTGCTTGGTGAAAAACGGAATAGCTGGATGCTGCTTCCTGGAATGCCCAGAATGACTATCAGTATTTCCATTAAAAGACATTATCAATGTAGTCAACAATGAAAATTATAAAATATGGATCATATCAAAATTAAAAAGACTTGTTAACATATGAAGCAAAGGATCGTCCTCAGAAATTTATAAGATGCAAACATTAAATACAAAAAATGATATTGCATTAATTCACTGCCCTGAGTTTTTGTAATCTGATGGAGACCTAGGCAAAGCATGGGGACACATCCTTAAAAACCAGCTTGCAGGGAGGAAGAACTATGACATTCAAGTAGCAAGAGATTTACTAGCAGCTACTTAATGTGGGACTCCATAGTAGCACCACTTTAAAAGAACTGACAGCCTGAACTACACTCTACAGTGCAGACTCCAGTGAACTGGTCATAACCTCCAATGGAAGTTTTTGAGGAGGTTGGTCCAACTTTGATACCAATAGATGGAGACCAAAGCAACAATGAGAACTCACCCTTGAAACTGACTTGTAGGAGGAAAAAGCCATGCCACCTGAGCACCAGAAGAAATACTTGTGGCTACTAATGCAAGGACTCCATCAATACATGTAACCGAGAAAACCATCAATCAATAACAAATATAAAACCTACACTTCTACAGCAAAATGCACTATTCATTGGCCACAAATAATGTAGCTTATTCTCCAGACTATGAAATTGATGAACCCATCAGTAAGTGGGGCTAAGTGTACAAGAGGACGAAGGCCAAACCCAAGAGTGCATCTCAGCAATCTACAGTGGGCTGTGAGGGCCCAAAACATGCTGCTGGCCTAGGGGAAGGTAGATTGGATGTTGGGAGTTTTGGGAAAGCTTCTAACCTCTTGAAAGTCAGGGAAGTGTCTTTTCTCTTTGCCTTAGCTACTGTTCATCTTATTTTGCTGCCTTGTATTAGGATTAGCTAGTCGTTTTTGTGCTAGATTCCTCTTCCTCACTCTATTGAAGGGGTACTAGTTTATCCTTAATACCAGAATACATCAGTTTGAGTTCCATCAGGAAACGCATATAATTTTTCTTATAATTTTACCATTCTACGTTAAAAAGACCAGTGGTTTTACTCTTTACCTCAGAAAGTTTTGTCAGCATAACATGAAGAACATCTAATACAGAACTTATTGCAAATTGTAACCCTTCAATCTCCACTGGATCAAAGAGGCGGCTAAGATGCAATTTCTGTTGAACAAATGTTCTTTTGTCAATAAGGTCTGAGTAAGGAAATTGTAGCAACTATCAGGTAATAAGGAAAACAAAAATAATTCAACGTGTCACCTCCAAGGCATTCACTGTAGTGCAAGCAATTTGGAACAGCGTCTTGTGAATGGATGAATCAGAGAATAACACATCGTGAATTACCTCACCCACTTTTCCATGGTAAGCCATCAATATGTTGCATTTTTTCATCAGTTCAAGCACCTGCTATATTATCCAAAGTTAAAAATAATCTAACAGCTTAGAAAACCTCCATCGTAGTTTTCCCAGAATTACACCCAACTGTGCTTAGCAGTAAATCAAAAGAAGCTGAGATAGGCCCTAGAGTGCACAAAATATTAGGCTGCATAATCTACTGTCTTCTAAATGCCATTTGAGGGATTAAATATCGAGGAAAAATCCAAAAAGACTCTTGGTAAGAATATTTATCATGAGGAAAGCATTAACCACAACCATGAAATAGTAATCTACTGCCTCACAATAAGATCACCTCATATGACCAAATAGGTCAAACAATAGTATCAGTTGCCAAACAGGTGATTCTATCCACAAAATCACAACACCAAACAGCCAAGGGTGTGCCAAAAAACTCAGATCATGATCAACACAGGACAAACCACAGCATTAAATGCCAAGAAGAAAGAAGCCAGTAAAGTCCATTTTAAAGTGAAACTGTCCCAACTCCCATCAAAGGTGAGATAAAGACACCCAAAACCAAGACCTTCATTGCAAAGTGGGGTGAGGATACCCAAAATCAAGACCCTTGCAACAAAAAGAGGTGAGGAAGAGAAAAAAAATAATAATAATGACAATAATAATACTATATTGCACCTTGCAACAAAGCAGGGTGAACAGAGCCAAGACCTTCACCTTGCAAAAAAGTAGACTGAAGAAGACTTGCCTCTCTACAAAGTGAGGTAATGAAGCAATCTAGAAGATTAAATTATTTATTGAAAAAAAAGTTGCACCTAGTAGCAAAAAGAGAAAAAATTCAAAAAGGAAAAAATTATGGATCCCTAACAGAGTAATTAAGACAATGATTTAGAAACCAATGTTAAGAAAACAAGCTTTTTTTTTTTTAATAACCACTAAATGGCAAGAAATAAGAAAAACAGCAATGCTAGCTTCACGGAAAATTTGATGGAGACCATGTTTTATAAACATGACATTACTTTTCAAGTGGTGCTTGTTATTAATTTGAATTTCATATTTCTAGTAGTATTCTATAGTTTAACTGTGTTTGTGGTTTTTTGAGTAGTTTTCTAGATACTGCCTTGTGTGTTTTAGTTTGGGTTTATCTCCTACGTTTTAACTGTTTATTTTTTGTAACAATTCGTCCAGTTAGTACCGCCAACTATTTCATTTGCATGCCAACAGTCAAGCTAACCTTGACAAAGTCAATTCTGAATCATTACTGATCATCTAGGAGGTCAACTAAAGATTAACTAAGAATCAGAAATTGTCTGACCCCTAGTAGACGCAAGAAATACCTTCAATGTCACTTTCCATCGAACATGCTTCATCTTGTATTTCCAGGATTCATGATTGACCAAAACATACTGCAAAGAGAAAATAACCAATGCAAGGAGACAATCATTCTCCACCCCGGTTTCTACAAGCTGTATGGTAAAGTCCAGAACTGCAAGATTTAGATCACCAAGTAAGAATATAGAGAAAACATAGAACACTCAACATAAAAGACAATATAACCATTAATGCTGGCCATAGTTCAACGTTATTAATAATTAATGAAGCATGTTTCAAACAAAAATTAGCATAAACACATTCAAATAGTGATAAAAGTACAAGCCAAAAAGCATTGGCACTGACATGAACAGAGCAACATATGATAGAATCTAAAGGGTCCCCGTGTTATTTAAAGTGTCATCATATGTCTGATACAACTATTCAAATCAAACTTGTTGCACACAAACACTGCTAGCAGTGTTTCAAGTATTATAACTGTATAAGCAATTATCATCTCACCACAAGGAATAGGAAAAAAAATGAATTTGTTAAATTATGATGAAGAAAGAAGGGTGCTTGAAGATAAGTACAGCATTATACAAATACAACAATTCAGAGTTATATATTAGCATTAGCTACTATAAAATCTTCTGACGTAGGCTCACTTGGAATTAAGTTTCCAGCATATGACTGAACGATGAAGAATAAATCAACAAAGGAAACGAAGCAAAATCACTAGATATATAGGTGAACAAGTTATGCTCATTTACACGTAGTTCAACCTTCAGAAGAAAATGCCAGAATAAAACAAGAAAGCAGGACAATGGACAATCAGAAATGGATAAACAACTAATAACAACGTATCAATTAAGGAATGATAAACTGCAATAGCTGTACCTGATATTGCCAAGGGGCAGTCATTACTGTTCTGCTCACAGTCAATTAAAAGCAGCTTAGCCAGTTTGCCAGAGAGCATCCATGAACCACTGGAAAGGACATAATTATTAGATGTTAAACAGAACAACAACAACCACAAGCCTTATCTCACTTATTAGTGATGAGCCACTATGACACTACATGTCCAGAGTCCATAAAGTTTGAAATGTTGGGATGAGGAATTTTAGAAATTCATAAAGCCTAAAATGCAAGGGAATTTAGTTAAGATTAAGTCTGCCATTTGGAAAATCCATTGTTTGGATAACTAAACATTACAAAGGAATTCCCTTCGTTTGTACTGTTCATAGCAGCACAGCGCCAAGGAGTAATCCAGGGCAAACTCCCAGGGTTCGGGGCCCACATCTGCGGTTCAGCTCCAGGTTTCAGGTCAAGTTTGGAGCCAAGGATTTGGATTTGCAGGTTTGGCTAACAGTGAGGAATTGAAAGAATATAAAATTCCACATATAGTGAAACATTTAAATTCTCTATTTTTTCACCTAAAAATTCCATGATAAGTTATTTGGAATATCTAAAATTGATTAATCATCCAAAAAAGCCTCTTGTTTGAGTATTTGAAATACTCTGATACATGGGAATTAGGACTAGTAAGGGTAATAAGGGGGTCAAAGGGTAGTTTGGGAATATTCTAAATATCTCTACAAATAAGGTCCGGAGGATGTAATGGGGGTCTTGTGTTGTGAATGATATTTCTATTACTTAGACTCTAATTCTTTTTTACCTCTACATACACTGTAAACCTCCTCCTCAAATTACTTCATCCAAATATGCACTAAAAGAAAATGTCTACTCATTCTATGACAACAGATAACAAGTAAAATAGCATAATTTCTATTTTCTAAGCATGCATGCAATTTCAGAGCAGTCTCGTGTGAATACCATAAGCTGCCTAATAGCTGATTTTACCTCGACGAGGCATTATTTCCTCCACTGAAAACAGTTGTCTGCAAAGCCATATCAAATATATTTGCATTTAGAGCAATTGCTGCAACACTAGAAGGAGAACTGGGAAAAAAAAAGGAACCCAAAAAGGTAAGCATTTCATCAATAGTGACTCACTTCTTCAAAACCAATTGAAGGTACAAAAACCAGTACAAATCTAGAAAAGACCCAAAAAGTAGAAAGCATCAAACTACCCATTAAAACGTCACATTTTCTTCACTTAACTTACACATAGACAGATCAAACAAATGAATAGCATAAAGTTTCATATCCATAAGTAACTATGAAAAATTACCAAATTAACATCTTTCCCAAAATCTTGATGCCCTTTGACATCAGTGCAGCACCATAGGAATTCAGAGATGGGTTTTTGACGAGATTGCAAATGATCTCAATGACCCTATCAAGGCAAGGAGAAAACAAAAGGTCATAGATATCAAACAGGAAAGGGAAATCAACATAAGGAATTTGATAAAGGATAACCAATATGTAATAGAGACATCTTACCAGACATTCTTTTTCTGCTCATCAATCAATCCAACCGTGTGAAAATGTGCAGAGCAGCTGAGACTCATCAACTCAAAACAGACAGCCTATGCACAGGAAGATAATCTGTAAGGAAAAAAGGCGGGGGGAAACAAAATCCTGATCCCAACATAACATTAGTTAAGAATCCATTTATTTAATTCAAGTTTCAAAGCAGTTTCCCATATCATACTTTGGGGTCAAAGCAACCCAAAGTTGCAACAGGTTCCATACTTAGCTATGTCAGGCTGGTAACAACCAAGCCAGAACAGCCACCTGGGTCCGAGTTAAACAAAAGCAAAACTGCACATCACAACAAGAAGCAAAACTTTCTGTCCCCATGCCAAAATACACAAAAATAAAGTTTCACTTGGTAAGTGTAGCAAACAGCACATAGCTTACAGGAAAAAGTATTACACCATGAACCTCCCAGGACAAAGACATTATAAAGATGCTCAAACGGAAGCTTCCTTACTCTTCCAGCAATGTCTAGAGTATATTAATATTTAATTTTGTACGAGTATTTGCTTAATTTACCAGAAGGTTGCCAGGGCATGAAACCAATTATACAAGCCTACATGGTAGCATAAGAAGTCCTCCAATATCTATAAATAATAATCAATGAAGGAAAATTTGTCAAGGGCTATACAACCTCAAATCGAAACCCCCCCCCCAACCCACAATTCAGTCCAAGACTAGAAGTCTTACTCTTCAACTTAAATCTCCATGAAACATAGAAGTACTTTCAAAATCACAGAGGAAAGAACATATATTCGAAAAAAACAAAGGGAAATAACAAAACCATAGATTGGGCTACTTCGAATGCACCAACATTAACCAGAGAAGTTAAATATGCCCAGTGAAATGGAAAATGACTATTGATCAGCAAAGTTCAACATTATAAGAGAAATAAATGAGCTACTCCACATGGAATAGAGGAAAAAGAAAATGAATTTAGTTGAGAAATTAAATAGGCATGGAAGAGAAAAAAATAAGACAAAAGGGGCCTAATGCTAAAGTTAATGGCATTCTGTGAATTTGCAAATTACCCACAATTGTCATTCTTAGACAGACAAAAAGCACAAGCTCAGCAATGATAAGGAGATTCAAGAAGGTTTAATATTGAAGCTTAGGAATCGAATTTCAGCATGAAGAAATGATATAATTGCCAGAACAACTGATACACTGATCTCATTGTTACAAATATACCACTTCAAACCAGCATATCTCATAACATGATGCTTCACAGAAATATACTAGCATACGGTCATGGGAAGGCATCCACAGAACAGTTGCTAAGACTACTGAAACAATTATCACTATTGGCATTAGTACTTTAGATAAGGAAAACTGGCGCACATAAATGACAATTAAAACTTACTGTGTTAAAGGAAACCAATCTACTGAGCAGGTCAAGAGTCAAAAGAACCTCCTCCTTGCCATTCAGATGTACCTCTTGTGTTAAACGTAGGAGTAAAAGAAACACTCCTGATGTTGCATACTACAAAAAAGATTATTGTATCAATATAAAAATAAAAATTAAAAGGAGGCAGGATCTGAATCCAGGCCAAATTGATAAGACTGAAAAAACACCCATACCCCTATATTGGCTCAGTCAAATATTCATACTAACTTTACAGAGATAGAACCTGTATCAAGACACAAGATTTAGACCTAATCCTCCTTATCTGTATCTTCCTTTTCTCTCAATCAAGCTCTTTTACCCCACCCCCCAACCAAAAAAAAGAGCACTTACCTATTCTTAGGTAATGGACAAAGGGAAAGTGAACCATCATAGATTACTCAATACCACTAAAGAATGACATATTTTCTCAAAAACAGGTACAAGTCGATGCCATCAAGTGTGAAATCAAACACCTGTTACCCTTAAATTTGTAGAGAAATATTTTCAAAGAGCACTGCATGGTTGACTTGGGCAAACAAACAGGTCATGTTCAATTAAGGAGTAGATAAAAAAGATACCCATGAAAGCCTTAAGTAAATTATAATTTAAACTAATTTTGGTCCTTAACACGTTAAATGAAACCTTATTTTTGTAGAAAATATAAGGAAAATACATCAAACAGTTATTTTATTCAAATGAAAAGGGATTCCAATATAAAGAGACCATGGCAACAGGCTGCCACCAGAATCATTTGACTAGTAGAGACAAAAAAGGAAAGAATTAGATTTGATATAGAAAGCAGAGATTTAGAAATATCAGAAGAGAATTAATTGATGATTCCATCCCACGATGTCTGAGAGTGGAAATCAGCTAAAAAATAAATGAGATCACATCGAGGTTCATTAAATGGACAACAGCTTGTAGCAATGATGAGAAATATTATGCTACAATTACCAACAACTATCCTACTAGGAATTTACAAAAGCAGCCACAATGTCTTTGTCTGCACTCACAACTTTAGGTGACTGCAGGCATAATACAAGGCAGGAAGTATACAGAAATAGCAGGCACAGAAACAAAAAATCCACTTACAGAACTGGTTTTCAGCCCACTGCTGAGGGGTGTGGGGCTGTGAACCAAACTCTCAAAAATAAGCCATATTTCAACACCTAGGGAAATTTTAAATAATAAAAAAAGCATCATAACAATATTAAGAGACACACCTCCCATCGTACAAGGGCAGTGTTCCGTCCAAAAGCTTTCAAGACATGTCCACGAGTTCCCATGGGAATAAAAAAACCTTCAATTCCAGGAACTTGCACTGGTTGCTGTGCCTCAACTATATGAGAGATGTCTGCCACTGACTCATTACTAATCTCAAACAAGGATGATACACCAATGGACCTATCTATGAAATTATACCTGTTGAATAAAAGAATTCTTAGGATATTATCAGCAATTATAGGAACCAGGTATGCTTTTGATTTTAATATGGGAAAACGGGGTTACTCTCCACCCCAAATGCATTGTTAGGTAGTTGATCCAGATAGTATTCAAGCAAATAGAAAAACCCGCAGAGCTTCCACTTGATAGCACACAGTGATATGATCAACAAGCCAATCAATTAGAGTCATAGGATATGAAAAGGCATTACAAAAAAATAACTCTGTTGGGCTCATAAAATAATGGGCCAGGAAACTTTGTGGGCTTTGCAAGGTGTGAGGTGTAGGCCCATAAACAGGCTGTAGTTAGACAAGGGAAGACATATTACAGATAAGGTCGCTGATAAGGTCTGTAAGGCCCAACAGGGAAGGTCCAGTAACGGGCCTATAACTCATAGCTACTGCCTTGTAACCGATAGAGGCTAATAGAGATACCAAAGTGAGAGTGAGAGAGAGTGAGGCATATATTGCGATTAAAGGGCTCATGAGAAGGTTATGCATTCAGCGAGTGACGTATGAGAGAGTCTAGCCCCTGGAACAGCAAGAGTATCTCTCTGTGCGTGTTTCTGTGTTTTAGGCTTATGTTCAGTATTTTAACCTCTTCAACCTATACTCTGGTAAATTACTGTTAAATTGAATACCATTTGGTGCTTGGTTTCCATCAAGCACCGTGAGACTAAAGGGTCCTAAGAGAAGTGATCAACGAGTAGCACAGAATTCAGAAATCAAAAGCTTTTTAAATCACAAGAAATTGAGCAGGGAAAAATCAATTGCAACGTAATGTTCCAATATTTGGCCTCAGTAGGGCAAATTACAGATGATTCAACAAACAGATTGTTAAAAAAATCACGCAATGGATCAGTTTAGATTACTCCAATACACAAGATAACAAAAAAGCACATAAATTAACCGCTTACACGCATTCTGCAGGCCATGTCCCCTCACAAAGGGAAGACAAGAGTTGAACAAGTTCCACTCTCTGGAAAGGGAACTCACCACCAAGGTTGCAAAGAAGACAACGAATTGGACCATCAATAAAACTTTCCTTGTCCCAAAACTGAATACAAAGTGATTCCTACAATTTAAAAGGCACAGCTCCCTAATCAATGAATGATTGCCAAGAGATAATGATACTAAAGCAATGCTGCAGGACAATAATTACACATCCAAACCTCTCCTCTGTAGATCTTGCAAAGAATATCCAGTATCAAAATGGGGTTGCTATCCTCTGCCTGCTCCTTCATTGAAGTAGAAATATGAGAATGCCATCAATGAACATGATGAATAACAAATTTCAAATATTCTTACCCGAATGTTGACCTCATAAGATGCAATAAAAGCAGATAATAATGTTCTCAATACACTGCGATAGCCAGACATAGGACCCTGGGTAGAAGAGAAAAATCAGTCTTTGCATAAAGTTTCACAAGCAAAACTCATAATATAAATATAGAATTATACATTTTGCTATTAATGTTATAAAAGTATAAACCTAAGAATGTAAAGAATAGTTCCTTCAATCATTAGGTATAAAACTCTGTCTATTTGAAAGCTTAATGCTTCTGATTGAAAAAGGGAGAAATTAGTCAAAATTTAGTAGAAGTTTGTTAGATGTTAAGAATTAGAATAAAACTACATGCGGGCCTTCAATTAGCAGGCTAAAGCTTTAGTGCAAATGTGTTACTTGACATGACATTAGACCTTCTATGACCATGTGATTGAGTTCAAAACCTGCCAGCCCCGTTCTGGATGATTAAATGAAATTTTAGCAGAAGATATGGAGATTGTCCTTTGTCTATCTTCAAACTCATAGGGATTTAATATGAGGAGGTACGGATATTATAATAAACTACTCATGACCTTCAGTTAACAACTTAAGCTTTTGTGGTGAAATGATTCTCAACAAAATTCAACCACAACAGACATTGATGCAACATGAGAATGACTCACATCATACTCCCTCAGTATGTCGCACTCAAGAATTTCAAGACAGTAACTAAAGGATGCAGCCTCAAATGCCTGTCGAACATAACCAACATGATCAATCTCCTGGAAGAAAAGGGTAAACAAGGATCAGCTATGTAATGTATACAAATTCATGAGTAAAGAACAATCTAATTTTGTCACTTGACCACATACCGTTAGGCCATTGCTTTCATCTTTTCCTGGAAGTGTCAATAGCAGATAAAGAAATGCTGCCCATGCTAGAAATAAGGGACCAGCTTCTTTCATTTCAAAAGCATTGAAAGTAGAAACTAAAGCATCCATCTCTTGGACATCAGTCAATGAAAAAGTAGATGCACCTTTCCTGAGAAAAAAGCAAACAAATTTTGCAACACTTACACAACATATTAAGTAACAGAAAGCACAAAACCATTGTAAATTAAGAGCAGCCCGTTTTTGATACAATATAGGCATTAACAAGCAAATCAAAAGGCACCTTAATCCCACAGTTCTCAACAGGTGATGCCTCTATAAACATACAAGGACATGCTTCATATTCAAGGCCAAGCACAGTGGTTTTAAATAAAAATCCCAGTAGCAAGAAACATAGATACATTGAATTATAGGAAAATTCAAACAATTCTAACAACAAACATAAACCAAGATATTTTTTTGGCTAATGGAAGTTAATCACCGTGGCCATAAATAATATTGCTATTATGGAACATCCTAGAAGGAACCAGAGAAAAGAGAATTGAAAGGTGACATTTTGATGTATTTTAACTAAATATATCAATAGGAGAAGTGCACTTCCACTATCATGACTAAAGATTAGCAAGATGGAAAATTGAAGGAAGCCAAATATCAACAATTGAAACTGAAAGTATTCTGTCCTGCAAGGTGGCATTTGTTTTCAGTACAAGACATGGGCCAGATTCAGATTTAACACTCAACAACTCACTACAGTAGAAAGGAGACATTGAGATTCGTTAGTATATTAGCATGCATGTGTAAAGAGCCAAGGCCCAAGCCTATCTGATAACTATAGTTCCGATGAAGTATAACTCTGACCAGAGATTGAGATCAACTAAGTCAGAATCATTCAGAACTATGAGTTAAACTCGATGTACTGATAACATTATAGTCAATATCCCTTTGCCTTGACCAACTGCCTCACAATGCCTTCCATTTGTAACTTCATAACTTTGATTATGATGTAGACAAAAGCCTGGCTTTACCTGTAAGGTGTTTCATCATGAACCATCTGAAGAAGATTTTCCAAGTCCAGAGTTTCTATCAGGATAAGTAGCAGTTGAACTTTCACATGATAAGACAGTTGCCAGGCTTCTGACGTTATTGCAAGCTTTCTGAAGTTATATTGACCAGAAATGACTCCCTGGATTCATGATATTTTTAAGCAAAGATTAGATCCATCAAAGGATCACAAAAAAGGTAACAGAATAAGTATTAAAATATGTACCTTGTAGATAGTACATAACTTCTTCCACCTTTCACCACTACAATTACAAAATGAGTCATAATACGCAAGGAATAGTATGTCCAGAACTAAGTTGTCCTCAACTAGGGTCTCCTCAGCCCACAGAGTGTAAAGATCAACATCCTTCCAAGCATTTCAGAATTGACATATTTTAAGAGATTAAGAAATAAAATTTATAGGCAAATAGAACATTCATTACATGCAGAAACCAAAAACAACATTATGTGAGGCAAGACATTCTTACAAGATCCTACATCTTATAGGCCCATAGCACCCTCATAGCAACAAGAAAACACAATTCAACAAGACTAGGGTTTAAATAATTTATACATTTATATATTCTTAAAATAATATATCCAAGTAAGAAAGATATCCTACTGTATAAAACGAGTTATTCTTCAAACAATCATGCAGAGTTCGGGTGCAATTTGCACTTGTGATAACATCAGAATTGATGTAAAAGGAGATGTAGTTCGTCAGAAGCTAAAAAATTAGAAAGGGTTAGCTTAACTAAATCATTTATGAAGCAACGCTCAGAGATAAGAAGCTCTCAAACTTTGATAAGTGATTTGACCCATCCGTTAGTACATATATGGGCACAAGAGCTGCCATAAGGAAAGCTTTGCATTGATCATCTCAATGTCTCCTCCCTTCTTACAGAAACCGCATTGCTTACAGATTCACTATTTTTAAAGGAACTTTGTCCAATTCTCAGTCTTCTCACAGCCACAGTGCCTCAATGTCATTAAGACTGATCTTGCTTACCTTAGCAGGAACTTTCTTGATAGTTTCATTTCTACTTCAAATATAGGCCATAAATTTCTAAGAACTTTTATGATTGGCCTCCTACACGTAAACTTCAGATTTAAATCAATAAATTGACTTCTTCCAAATTAAAAAAAAAAACTCAATTATATTTCCCATTAATCTATAAACGTCGTGCAGGGTTGGCACTTGAATAAAGGATATTTTTGGTTACTTTTCTCTCTCATTCCCAATGCATGATATAAACCTGCCAGAAATCAAACATACCATTTGCTCTGGATAACTAAAAAGCAAAAGATCCTGAAACAAAGATATTAATTTGTTTTCCAGTCCATCATGAAACAACTTTTTTGCCTCCTCTCTTATAACATGTTCTTTAGAGCCTGGTCCAATATATACTGCAAAAAGAGTCATGTACAGTATCAGCGTTGAACCCCAACAGAGAGAAAAAGGAATTTGACATCAAACCATACACCAACAGAATTTGTGCTTGTATGCATGCATGTGAAGCAAAAACATAATTGAAAGAGCAAGCAATGAGAAAATACACTTACTAGCATGCATGAGAATCCACCTGATGCATTTCAGCAAGCACTGTCTCTCCGTATAATATTGAATTACTATCTTCACAGCAAGAAGGGAAAGGAAATTGATAGCGTGAAATAAAAAGAAAATTGGAATTGTGCATCACATGAATAATCCAAAAATTAGCCAGTGTGATGAGAATTAAAATATAGCCAGGGTTTGAGGTATTGAGCAACTAACCACGTGAAGAAATTCTTGAGCCATGGAATCAACTGCCACATTGTTATGTTTGAGTGACCTTTCGGCAAGAATGTAAGATTGAACTTCATCCAATTGCTGAAATATAAAAAGAAATTCCATAAAAAGCAACCAGTGAGCATATCAGCAGAATTCCCTTCATAATCACTAATTCCATGTAAATGGGAGATGCCCGGCAAGCAGAGGGGAAAAAACCAAGCACTATCCATTTCAAAAGCACAATACATAACTTCACTTTTTATTCTTCTCATTTTAAACGTTTCAGGCACACCAAATAACCTCCCCACTCTGCCTCAGAAGAAAAGATGATTGTAATGTGATCGCGGAGCACTCACCAAGGAGGAGCTGATTTTTAGAGCTTTGTCTTTCAAGTGTGTTTGTACAGTTAGTTGGTGACATCCAATTTGCAGTTTCTTCGAATTCAGAGCTTCCTTTGATTTCTCGTTTGGCGGCTTGAAGCGCGAAACTGCATCCAATAGCCAGGAATGGTTGTCCTTCAACTTTTTCACCTAAATAAACACCAAAATAAGCCATGTGAACACACATTTACACGTACAGATAGAGAGAAGGGGACAGAGGCAGAGGAGGTTGAAATTATACCAAATTTTGAGGGAGGTCTGAGGAGAGACAGGAGTTCTCAAGCTCAGTGAGCAGCAGAGTGAAAGGATCCCACCACAGAGAAGCGTCAACAGACTTAGTATCCGCCATTGGAGGGAGGAACGGAGGAGGAGAACTTAAACCCTAGCTCCGAATGGAGGTGGAAGGTTTTGATATTTGATTTTTCTCTTTTTCGCGCTTCCTATGGTTCGTTGCTCGGCAAGAGTGACGAAGCAGAGTAACTCGGCCCGGATGCAGGCCACGCGGTAAGTAAAACCCCTCGTGCGGCTGCTGCTCGAAAAGGGGCGTAAATTTTCACCGACTACTCGTTAATGATAAACGAACAAAGTGAATAATAATAATAAAATGAACAAGGTTAATAATAATAATAATAATAATAATAATAATGTTGTAAAATATAGTTAATATAAATAGTAAAAAAGGATAAAACAATATAAGAAATAGAAAAAAAGCAATAGAAAAAAATTCTTATTCACTATTATACATATGTTTTGAATATGATCTCTATTTATAGGCCTCCTATCATTCAAATTCTATCCTAATGTTATAAAGATATAATGAGTTATATAATATTGTATTATGTAATCTTTAAAGATTATAAGTTATTAAAACTAAAAAACTCTTTTCATGCTAATCATGAAAATATTAAAGATAAAAGAATCTAAAAGACTATAAGTTATGAACATCTACAACATCATATTTATCATAAAAGGTTGTTTATTAGAAAATAATGAATGAAGTTGGACTTATAGTTGCTTGTGAAAGAGAAACTTGTCTAAGTTCACAATCATAATGCACAAAATTTATGGCTAACTAGTAGTTTAACGTTATCCAAACAAACTCATGATGCAAATGATTAGCACTTTGTTTGAAAGGGAATGTGTGACGGGCAGTGTAGCAATTAAGTATTAGTTGAGATTGTAATAAGGTGCATAATCAGTCAGTTATCTCTACAAATATCGTGGATTCTCAATTTGATTGGTCAATTTTCCTTCTCTCTAATTGGTGGACAAACTTTGGTTTAATTTTAGTTTTCTCCTTTCATTGGTGGATGACTTTGGTGTAAGGTGCTTTATGTATGCTCATTGATTGGTTCTCTCCTGTTTATATAGTATTATGTGTTGACTTCATTTTTCAAATTCAAAATTAGTGCTTATAATTTTCACATAAACAATAACTTCCTTGTAATTTGGCCATTCTCCCATTCGTTTCCCCATGCCACTTTGTTATTCTCATTTTTTATCACTGCCTTGTCAATTTGTTTTTGTATTTCCGTCCTCTCTATCTTCAAAAATCAAATTCAAATTTCTATTATGAATCTTTAACTAACATATTATTCAAAACCATTCACAACTTCATACGCCCTAATGGATTTCAATTACTGAGATTACTCGCACAAGATATGTAACATCCAAAAAAATTTTAACCCTGATTTATTAACTTCATTAGGGTAGTTGGTGAGTTAATGAAGTGTGTAGCTAAAAGGGCTTAACTTGGCATAATTGTTGTGATTTCAGCCCTAGAGGTGGGTCCAGATCGATGGCGAGCCACTTAGGCAAGGAAAGAGGATAAAAAAGTGAAGAGTTGTGTTATGTGTCACATGCCGCAGTGTGTGATTGGTTCTCCACTGTGCACAGACACAATTTAAATGTAACAGGCTCCTCTGTGCCATGCACCACAGCGGAAGGCAACGTGCGCTGCGGCGCATGGCCAAAAATCAAACATATCTGATTCATTTTTGCGTGAAAAGAACAGAAGGAGAAAAGGAAGAAAATGAAGAGCTCGTTTTGGCTCTGCTAGGGCACGACTTTTTGTCCCATTGTTGATAGATTGAAGCTCCCAAACACCCAAGGCAAGATCATGGTGCTTTCTCCTTCCTTTCTCTCCCTCATTTATGATTATTTCTGGTAGGGTTTGAGTTGAAAGATGGATTTTCGATTCATAAGAGTATAAGTCTGATTTCATTGGTTAAAATGAGATTAATATGAGTAATTTAATGTATTGGAACACCACATTGATAATCTTAGAAGTGGTTGGTCTATGGGAGCATCAAATGTCAAAAAATTGTATTAATAAGGTAATTGGGAGTGGTTAATATGCATTAAGGATGGTTTGAGGTGTTATCAATGATAATGTATATTAATGGAATCTAATGACCTTATTGGGTATGAATGGGTAATAATTATGAGTTGGTAAAATAGTGTATGAAGAATTTTATATTGATAAAGCTTAAAGAGCTAGATGATGATGATATTCTTGTGATTTAGTTGTAGAGAGGTTCGTCATGGCACCTTTTGAGCTTGTTGAAACTTTAAAAAGTTGATATAGTGAAGAGTAAAATTTTGACCTTTCAAAGGTTTGAAATAACTGGAGGAAACTTAATTGTTATAATTGAATGTTAATTGTTTGTGAAATTTGATTTATGAGTTTAATTTGATAATGCATGTTGGCAAATACTTGATTGTAAAATGGTTTTAGAGAAGAGAAAATCTTGATTCTACCACCCTTGATGTTTTATAAAATTAGTTGTGATTTATTACTATGGGTGGAGAATTGTGATGAATTAAGTGTTAAATTGTGAAGTAGTTGTGTTATGTGAGTGTATGTGTTGATAAAAGATTGTTAAATGCATATTTTGTATGAAAATGTGCATAGCATAATTATTAGCGGGAGTTCGCCTAGAAAGAGGAGTAGATTGGTTGAAATTCATGTAGTATTGGCAGTGATTGTTGAAATCGGGAACTAGCCTTGGCACCAACCGTTGGAATTAGGAGGTAGCCCTTGTCCCATAGTTGATTCGGGACTGTCCCACCTATTTTATAAGGGACTCAAACCTAACTAGTCTCCACAAGTTCATAAGGAGGCTAGATTAGGGGTACAACACCCTATGGTTATTAAAATTGGGAGAAATCGGATTACATAAGTGAGTGAGTTAACTCTGACCTGATAACTCCTCACAAGTGGAAGGCTGAGTTAATCTGTGAAGGACCTAGCCTCGTGATAGCCATCGATTTCGTGTCGAAGGTAATAGGAGGATATAAGGTTAATCATGCATGTAAGTCCGGCCACATGGTTGTCAGTTTTGTGGTCCGGCGCATGTTAAGGGCACATAGTTGTTATTTTTGTAACCCTGAGTTATGTTTTTGAAAATAATATGATATAGTATTTTGCGGCAAGTCCGATCACATGGTTGTTAATTTTGTGAACTGTGGCCTAATACTATGTGATATATGTGTTTATGTGCATATTTTGCATCTATTTACAATTAATATGTAACTGTAAGGGTTAAGGGAAACTTGGTTACTGAGTGATTGTACTCATCCCTCAATTCTTAATATTTTTAGGGACTAGTTCATTGGATCTGAGTTGGGAAAACACACAAAGACTTAAGATTTATAGAATAAATCCTCTTTATATCTCTCTTTAGTTGTTTACATGTATATTTGTTAATGTAATTACCAACTAGGATAAATTGTCATGATTGGTGTATTACTTGCATGATTTTGTGTTTAACTAGTGTATTTTGTGCCCTGGGTTAATGAGTTTTTATTGTGAATCTGATGATAGGGCCAAAATACTCGTGCAAGTATGAACATATGCATTTTTGAGAAATATGAATGAAATGATTGGTTTTGTACAACTTTTCATCTCCCTTTATGTTTTGTGAAAATTGGGGTTGAGTAGTGATTTTGTAAAATAAGTGTAGTTGATAGCGTGTGGTGTGTTGCACGAGTCCGCAAAAGTCCATTAACTGTGGTCGGAGGGTTGGTGTAGGCTACTAGCACGTGTGGTTAAATTAGGAAACCCCATTTGGAAAATTTTGTGAAAATGTGTCAAAATGAATTTTAGTGTCCAACTTTTAATAGAAAATAAATTTAAGTGTGAAATCAGTGCCATTAGCTAGAGCCAAGAGAAAGCTCTATGTAGACACTTAAACCACTTCAATCAGACATCGGACGAAGATTTGGGATGCGTCGGAAATTCGCTCCCTGTGCTGTCAAATGACAACATTGATTTGTCAAATTTTATGCAATGCGCCACAGCGCATGACACAGAGGAGACACACAGCGATGCACGAACTGTAACTGTGGCACACGTGTCAAATTCTGTATAAAAATCTGTTTTGAGTTTTAAAACTTATTATTTAGGTCCTAATTGATTTTCAAGCTTTCGCTTTATCTTCAAAACTCTGATTTGGAGTTCCTGAAACATGTTTGAGATTTGAACGGTTGAAAATTGGGATTCCTTGAAATATATTTTGAGAAATTCATTTATAAACCCTACAGTTTGATAATTCTTGTAAGTTAAGCTCTAAATTACCATAATTGAGAGTTAAGTGTGATTTAAACTCAAGGAGGTTACAAGATGCAAATGCAACAACCACAACCATAAGAATAAGGGTTCCCTTATTTTAGTTTCATCTTCAATAAGATTTTTTGAGCTTGTTTGTCCTTGAGTTCTTAAAAGAATAGGTTTCTAGTTGAGCAAGAGAAAGGCATTATGGTTTCTATCACATGTTACATTTTAGTGGCAAGCTATTCAAATGTTCCTTTGCCACACTCAATAGATCTTATCTTTCATAAATTTCAAGCCATTTGTGAGAGTTTGGAGGGCAATGGTGCATCCCTAACCACTTTTGGATATATCTCATTGTTTTACAATCTCAACAACGCCCTCACAAACTGGGTAACCATCAAGGAGCAGAGTTTGACTATAAAGCAAATTTTCTCTTACAATAATATTACTAAGGGTTAATGGTTCAGTTAAGTTAAGCTTGGATAATGATAGCGGTCATTACACATTCCACTAATATGTCAAATTGTCTTGGAAAAGAAGCAAGCCTAAATGAGTAGAGATGATTAAATTAATATGAAATATGCAATTTATGATACATAAGAAAGGAAAGAAAGAATTGTCCAATACACCAGCATTGAGAGGAGTGGTGCAAATCCAAGGAAGGTATTTAGATTGTAAAATATGACTAATTACAAATATTTTTAGGTTAAGTTCAAAATCAAATAACTACTTCTTCATCTGAGTTAAACACCTCTAAAGAATGGTGTAATGCCCTTTACCGACATTACCATACGTTCCACTATAATTAATCTAATCATTTTGAAATTATTTAGTTTAAAAACATTGAAAACCTTGGAATCCCAAGAAAGGATTTTTAGAAATTATTTTTATATATCACTTAAA